TGGGAGTCCAGCAACATAGCCATTACGCCAACTGCTGGTTCCCCGCCTGGCGTGAGTTTTAAGCTACCAGGTCCGGGACGCGAACCGCGTCAACTACATGGGAGTCCAGCAACATAGCCATTACACCAACTGCTGGTCCCACAATAGTTTCACTTTTGTAGAGTTGACCGTTGGCAGTCCCACTAGACAATTTCAGAGTTTTATGTAATTGGACTTTTAAATATGGTTTTTCTCTTTAGTAATTTCTTTAATTGTATTCCATTAGAATTAAGTAGCCAGTTTATAATTTGGAAATAACCAAAAGTGTAGCAAATTTTCACATCTTATTTTATATGCAGGACTTTGCATTTCTAAGCCATATCTGATCTCTTTACTGGAGCAAGGAAAACAGCCTTGGGAGATGAAGAGTGAAATGACAAGAAGCCCATTCTCAGGTAAATATGACAGAATCAGATAGGGAAATCCATTCCAGATAATGGCTTAGTCATTTTCAAAGGTGATACCTCCTCACTTATACATCTCAGAAACTTAAGCTTCATGCTCCTGGGGAGAAAACTGAAACATCACTACTTAGCATGGCCTTTCCAAATATCTCCCCTTCTACTTGCCTCTCTTCTCTCTGAAAACTAGTTTTGCAAAAGTGTTTATCTAGCTCTTTCCACTTACGTGTTTCTCTTTCTTAACTCTTTGCTTAACTTTCAAATTAGGCGCTGCTTACAAACCACAATGTACCCTACTATGTTGGTGTCCGCCCCGGACTTGGCGCTATCTAAGGGGAAACAGAAAGAAAGAGACAGAGTACCAGTGGACACAGGCAGCCTGAGCCTAGGTAGCCAGAAACTTGTGCTGCCCAGACAAAATGGGCGCTTTTATTTATAGGGCAAGGTGACACTATGTATGTGTATTTCATGACATTCCATAGATATGTTGATGTGTTAACAGACGATAGAAGCAGGTAACAAGTCTATGAGGGCTTAGACATACTGGGCCAGGTGCATCCCTTGGCGATAGTCACATCGAGGAGAAATCTCATTAATCTTTTCGAATGGAGAGAAGCCTAGCTGCAGGTGTGGGGAGGATACATAAGGATAAAGAATCTCACCATAGGGGACCAGCAGTTAGCGTAATGGCTATGTCGTTGGACTCCCATGCAGTCGACTGCAGTTTGAGCCCTGGACCCAGTGGCTTAAACTCATGCTGGGTGCATGTGTATGTGCCCAAAATCTCTAGAGGAGAACGGAGGAGAAGGGATTGTGGCATGGCCATCCCCCCTGGGGGTTGATTTTTCGCTTTCTATCTCTCTGTCTCTCTTTGAGTGCAAGTGCCCTATAGCAACCCTTCCCCCACAAAAAAAAATAAATGAAAAGAATCTTGCCATAGGGTGGGCATCACCATGCCTGGATAAGGCTAAAGAATCTTTTTATTTTATTTTTTTTTGAGAGGTTTTTGCCATAGGGCACGTGCGCTCGCCAGAAAGACAGAGACAGAAAGTGAGAAATCACCCCCTGGGGGGATGGCCACACCACAATCCCTTCTTCTCCATTCTCCTCTTGGGATCTTGGGCAT